TTTTGGCTTCTGAAGTTGTCAAAAAGCATATAGTTATATTTATACCAGAGTTTTAGACATCTCACAATTACATTTCAGTAAACTGACCTAACAAATTAAATAATTAGAGCTACATGGGGAAAAAAAAGTTAATTAAACAGATGTATGAATTAGTTTTCCAGTCACTTCTGTTAATTTGCATATTACACTGCTTACACACTGATTTACTGATACAAGTATTTACATACTAGCATAAAGCTAGTTTCTCCTGTGTCCTCACATTTCCTTTTACGTGTAGTAGATATTTTTATTCCTTAGTATTTTTATTCCTCTCGTACGAGTATCGAACTCAGTTACCAAAAGGAGCCAACATTTAAAAACGTGGTCTGAGCCATGGGCCACTTTCAGCTGAAACATTAACTCGAGTCAGATACCGGATATCTTTTCTTGGTTGCAGGTTCATGAACAAGAGTTTGATCTGTCTCACCTGACGTTCTGTTACTCTTTCCACATCAGAATCAGTAATGACAGAATGATCCAGCAGTCTTTCTGGATTCAAAGTTAGCCAGCTGGCAAGAGAAGTCTAAACTAAATGATGTATTTATCAGTTTGTTAAAGAATAAATTAGAAGAGATACAATATTTTACATTGAAATTCTCATCTCGGGGGATCTGATTTGGCCCGTGGCTCTTGAGTTTGACATATGTGCTAGTCTGTTTTTCCATTGAACTTGCACAGGGTTTCATTAAGACCCCAAACCTTCCCACTGTGACATGTGCCACCGTGTCTCCGACCTGTTTGCAGAGGAACAGTTGCCCCCTGGTTTCCCCACCATAGACATGGGCCCACAGTTGAAAGTGGTGGAGCGAACGCGCACCGCCACCATGCTCTGCGCCGCCAGCGGCAACCCTGACCCAGACATTGCCTGGTTCAAAGACTTCCTCCCTGTCAACACCACCAACAACAACGGGCGCATTAAACAGCTCAGATCAGGTAGGTCCTCTGCTGAAACTCACTTACTAAACAGGGGAGTCTCTGATCTGCTCCCCACATCCTCTGTTCTTTCATCTTCTTCTTCCTGCCATGATTTAACTTCTCATTTGGCTTTTAATTTTATAGGTAATGGCATTGTTTCTACTGTTTCCTGTCCTCTACACTCCAGCTGTCTCTGTGTGTCTCCCTTTGTCTTCCAGTGTTTTCATGGGCTACTGGAACTGTTCCCCTCCTGTCTTTTGCTGGCTTCTGCTCTAACTTCTGCCCTCATTGCTCACCGCTGTGACTTTCTACAATAATTTCTGCTTGCTCTTTATGTTGGTTTACTTTCCCCTGCATTGATGCAGTGCCTTTTAGAACCATTTTCTCCATTTATGTCTTTATGCTTTAATATTCAACATTTAATTTAATTCTAAATCCATGGTTTTAAGATAAAAGAATGCAGAACTGTAAATATTTTTTTCCCTTCTTTGAAGCAGTCTTTGAATAGAAAATTATGTTTTTGTTCGGGTACATTTTTAGGTTGAAGAAAAGTTGTTTAATTTTAATCAGCCACAGTAGTACCAAAAAAAAAAAAAATCATAAAGCTTGTCCCCTGTAGCTTCATTTTTTGCAAGCCCTTCTTAATATTTAGATGCCAGCTTTTTTTTTTGCCTGCCACACACCTTAATAAGTTCCTCTGCACCAAAATCTTAAATTTAATTTTATTATTTTAGCATAAAAATTACTCTGTTTTCTTAAAATTTTGCTAGCAGCTTTATGTGACAGAGAAAGCCAAACTGCAGTGCATATTTTTTAAGTAAATAAATTGGATTTTATTAAGAAGGGATTTGTGAAAAGGTTATGAGCGGTCAGTATGTTACCTGTGTTGGATAGCTCTTGGAATGACCTCAGATTGAGGAAATAATGTATTTTTGACTAGATTTACAGAGCTAGTCTGAGCAGGACCAGCAACAAAGTGGATTGCTGCCTTCTAAAAATAGTTTTAGGCTTAAATATTTTATAGTATTTCACGTGAACACGTTTTTAGACCTTTATGTCGACGTCAGTGTAGCATTGCCCCGTTATATCCATGTAGCGTTAAGCTGATGATGGTGTTAAAGTTGATAAAACTGTAACGTTTTATATTATGAAAATGTATGTTTGTGGAAACAAAGCCAGTGTGCAATGTTGTGTTATCTGTGGCTGATTACTGCTTTAAAGAAAACAAATACGTTTATCTCGCTGAGCTGTGATTGTTGGAGACTAGGCGGCAACTAGTCCAAGAAAACTGTGAGAAAATAGGCAAAATGTTTTGTTGCAGTCTCACTGATTGCTGAGTGTTTGTGACCTTGCAGCTATGTTTTACACAGCAACGTTTTCAAAATCACAATACGTACGGGTTATAAAATTGTATTCTAGGCTGCACACATTTTTTTCTTGCCCACATTGTACCCACCTTGGCTTGCTTTGTATCCAGTTTGGCAGCAACCCTGTTTAGGATTTAATTTACTGGAGTACACTTTTGAAATAAATAGGCAGATTTAGCCTGAACGCTCTGATGTTTTCTGTCACAAGATGTGTCAAAGTACACTCTAGGGTTAGGGGAAGTAAATTTAGAAGAATCTGAGATGCCTGCAACATATTTGTCTTTTAAAAGAAGAAATGTCAAATAATAAAACATTAAATATGTTCAAAAGACAGGTAACAAGATTGTGAGCCTCTGCAACTCATGCAAATAAATTGAAAACCCCTGCAAACATTTTGAGACGTTTAGGAGACTCACTCATGGTGGTCCTTTGTCCACTAGTCACAGCAGTGAGATACTGTCTCAGGAAATACAGGTTTTACTAGCTATGTTTACATGGACATAAGTAATCGGATTAAACGGCCATTGAGAATAAAAATGCGTCATGTAAACGCCCCATTCGGATTATTTCAGCTCGATCCGAAAGAATTTGTAATCAGAATGAGAGGGGTGGTTTATGCCGATTCACAATCTGAACAGTGTGCATATAAACACTTAATCTGATCGTTTTATTCCGATCGTGGAAAACTGACCTGACTGCGCATGTGCAACCTATGTCTGTCTCACGTATTTCCGCCTGGCTAATGCTAATAATATTAGCATGTCGGGGAAGCAACACTGGTCGGTGAGCGACACAACATTTCTACTAAAAACTTTGAAAGAGCTAAATGATCTGTATTACCTGTAGCTCAGTCAGGGAGTGCAGCAACGTCTCCACCATCAGTAAAACCTGTCGCAGGTCCATTTTTGGCGCTCAGGTTTGTTTACGTTCATCCTGGAAGTAGAACTTCTTTTTCTGTGTTTTTTTTAAGGAGAGTTTACCACACTGCGCATGTCAGTACTGCTGTTCAGAACAAAGCCCGCTGCATGTAAACGCTCGTCTTGAACGGACTGTGCTCATGTAAACGATACATTTTGATTATTTAATCTGAAAACATTTCAATCCAGTCAAAGATTTTTGCACATGTAAACATAGCTAGTGTTGCTGTCAGACAGTGATCCAAATTTCAGCACGGTTTGTACCATGTCAACCCACATTAAGTAGGGTTCCCAACATGACATTTGATTTTTCCCTGAGTAAATCCTGAAATTTCAAGAGATATTTCAGTCACACGGAACACTCAGGTGTAGTATACTCTAGCCTACAATACAAGCATACATCAATCATTCCTAATAATGTATACCATCAGATACCAAAAAACCACCATAGCCAAAGGACACAGTACAGTGTAAAAGCAGAACATGGACTCGCTGATACTAGAATTTTTCTTCTTTCGGCTGCTCCTTTCTTCAGGGGTCGCTACACCGAACTAAGTCGTACAAAGACTTGACAATTGTTTTTACGCCGGATGCTCTTCCTGATGCAACTACCACCATAGCCCTGTGTGTGGAGCAGGGAGCTGCTATCTAGGGCAGCCCGGGGTAGCAGATGGTGGGGGTAAGGGCCTTGCTCAAGGGCCCAGAGTGGGGCAAATGAGGGTGGAGGCAGGTGTGGGTGCTTCACCTATCCCACCCACATTTTAATGTTGTTGGTACCAGTTGAACCAGTGATCTTCCGATCACAGGCCCACCTTCTCTAACCTCTGCACCACCACTCCCCTACTCAACGGTACTAGAATATTTTCATTAATACATGTACACGTCAAATCTCAGAGAGACCATCTTTTAATCAGTGGATCAGTGTTCTAATCCCCTGAGTTTTCCCTGCTTTCTAGAGTTGCTGGGATTTTGTTACGATTGTTTAAATAAATCTGTCAACGGTCAAGCTTTACGTCGTTTGTTATTTTGTGACGTAAAATACCAATAACAGAACATAGTTTGCACAAACTACTAAGAAAGCAGCGACACACTTTGGTCTTGGCCCCATTTGGACTAGCCATTAGCTTTGTAAATCTGGTCAAAATTCAATTGTTTTTCCACAAAATGAGCCATCTACTAAAGGTAAGAGATACGTGTTCATAACCTCTCCATAAACCCCACTTCAAAGGATTTGCATCGTCCTTTTAAAATGTTGAAGTCTTGTGTGTTTGACCGCCTGTCTTCACTGATTTCTTTGTTGAGTCATCATGTTTAACCTCACTTCCTCACTGACTTGTTTCAAGTAAGACTGTGTCAAATTAACCTCAGTTTTCTAACATGCGGCTTTGACTCGCGTACAGTTGCTAAAGCATTAACGAAACCTTTGTTAACTAAACGTACCTAAAGACTATAATCCAATTCTTATGCTGTCTTTCTTCTCTCTATATTTTTAAATCTACAGAATCCTTTGGTAAGTGCTTAGCTCTGAAGCACACATCACCCCCCCACTAATTTTCATGTTTCAACAACTATTAAAATGCATGGCATGCATTTTACTAACAGATAGCTTAGTTTCAGGGCTAGAGAAACACACACTGTTCCCCTCACCCCCCAGTGTTCAAGTGTCTTAACACAGCCAGCTATATGACCACATTATATTGAGATGTTTAACCACTAAAGCTTCAGCCAAGTACTTCTTTGTATACTGACCTGAGTAATAATCTCATGTTTCTCACGTTTGTTCCCACTCACTGATCCAGCACTTGATTTTTTTTAACACCAGCACCTTAGGTATAAAAAGTTGGAGATTTAGGGAGGTGACCAGCTCTGCTCTCATATATAAGAGTCCTGAAAGTCTTTTCCTTCAGTAGATGGTCTTCAGAAGCCATTGCCACTTCCAAAAACACGGCACCTCCCCTCCACCCCCTGTGGTACACCAATGTACAAGTCCTCTGACTAATGAAGTTTTTTAATGATGAATCCTGTCTTTATTTGCCAGAAGAAAGTGCTCTATTTCTCTTTTCTCTTTCCTGTAGTATCTTTATTTACGTACCCTGTTAAACCTAATTTTAATTCTTCTTCCAAAGCCCCCAGCCTCTATCTACTCGTACTAATGCTTCTTCTTTCTAATCTTATTTGCATTCATATTATCCACCCAGGTGGTACACCAATAAGAGGTAAGAGTGCTGAACTGACGTTCACAGAATGAAAATAATACAAGTTCATTCTTGCTGTCAACCCATCCGTTCACCTGAATCACCTCCATTTTTGTCCCGTTTACAAAGACCGAATCCCATTACGTTCGTATGGACCATCCTCCTTATTTGTCCTGTTTTGTTGACTAATATTGTATTTCATCACGTTGTCTATGCCTTATTTACTCCTTTGTGTTCTTGTTTTAAAGAAGCCCATTTAGCTCAGTTGTGATATGCTTGCCTTGGCCTCAAATAAGCATATACAATGACAATTATTTTTTTAGACGATATTTTTACGTTCATTTTTGTTTTCTTTTTGGCCATAGCAAACCATGTGTCCCTCTTCTTGTCCAACTAAAACAACCAAGCATTTTTCCCCCCCTTAGCTGTTTCTTGTTCAGCACTAAAAATATACACAGATGCTGTGGAATCACGCAGACATGCTGAAGACGACATTGTCTCTCTTGTGCTTTTTTCTCCCAAAAAGCTCTTTCTATCTTTGCAAATTACTTTTTTTTCCTACCATTTCTTCTATTTGCTTTCCTCTCCTGTACCTCTACAAAAAAGCCCAAACAACCACTTTTTTGATAAAGTTTCTTACGGTGCTTTTTTTTTACCTCTTTCACCTATTTTTCTTACTTTTCTTGGGTTTGGAAACTATTTTACTTTTTGACATTTTTTTATTTTTTTCTTCAGGGTTTGGGAAGGCAAACTGTAGAGTCTGGCGAGGACCTGATTGGCTCATTTTTGCCATGTGACATGGAGCTGGAGAATTGTTGATGCATAAAGCCTTTTTTTTCTCTGGGTCATGTGACACCACACTGCTGATCCCATTGGTGGATTTTTTATGGGTGTCTTTTGTAGCTTTCACAAGCTAAAGCAGTGGTTGGTTGCTTTCTTGTTGGCTCAGGCCATATTTTGAATTTTGTCTTCTAATACAATTGCATTTTATTTTTCAGCTAAGGGTTGTCAGAAGGTTGTAAGTTGTGTCGACATACATTTCTTGCCAAGATTTGCATGTCAAAAACTTTTGTCAGAGGGTTATATGTTGGTTTTGCTTTACGTGATACTTGAATTACGTTTTTTTTTCCAGATACCTAAGCAGCATTTTTCAAATTTTTTTGTATACGCTGCTTTTTTTTTTTTTTTTTTTTTGAAAGCTACACTTTGGCGAAGTGCAAAATTATTCTGTAGGCTGAATATTACAACTGATCTGTGATTGAACATGCTAAAGTCATACCTAAATTTATTTTTATTTTTTTAATTGTCCTCCCTTGTTACGCTGATTTCTTATATTGTAAACCTCTTTTGTTTGATCCATGTTTCCCTAAAGCAGTATCACTCATCCCCATATTGACCGGTCCAGTGACATGTTGTATATTGATAGGCTTGCCCTTCTTCGTCAAAGTAAAAATTATTTTTGTTACCATTGGCGAGAGGATGAGTGTCTTTCCATCACGTAATTTCGTGATTTCGTAATGTTTTATTTTTTCCGTCAAAAGAGGTTATCAATAAGGCAAATGTGATGTACAGTATTTAATTTGTATTTATTTTACTATTTTCTTTTTGCTTATTTAGCTTTGTATTGAAATGTCTTGCATGGTTCAGTTGCCACTTTTAAAATCTAAAGTAGGGTTGTATAATCTCCCATTTTTATCCCAATATGCTAGCCAGGTAATCAAGATGTGATTGTCTAAATTGTAGTGTTTTTAGAATTAAAAACTAATGTTTTATTTATTCGGGATTGGAGATTCTTTAAAAAACAAGTACTTAAATTTCCCTGACTGCTAAGACATGACAGGAAAATGCAAACGTAAAAATAAGTGCGGGGCTAACACCAGCGCCCTTGAGGTTGAACCAGCTTGTTGCTTTTTATTTTTACTTGCCGGTAATGGTAAAACTTTAACCGCACACATTTTGTTACTGCCATTTGTTATTCCCAACCAGGAGCCCTCCAAATTGAGCAAAGCGAAGAATCCGATCAGGGGAAGTATGAATGTGTGGCGACCAACAGCGATGGAACCCGCTACTCAGCACCGGCAAATCTATACGTCAGAGGTAGGAAGTGCTTGTATCAACACCGCCAAACTTTATTAGAACATGAACCTTAAAATCCGAGGAATGTTTAAATCAACAAATAGTCTCTGCCAGGCCCGTGTCCTGTGAGACCGTTGTAAGTATGATTTATTACAGTTTATTTTCTGTTCCTCGCACTTGACTTACCTGCACTGGTTTGAACCTACAGTATCTGCTCTGTGGTGTGTTACTGGCCTTTTCCGTTAATTATCCTGAGTCTTAACACCAGTGACGAGACTGCTTGCTGCGTTTATCTACTAATTGCTTTTAAAACCTGACTGCTGGAGGTGGTAAATGGTGGACAGCACCTCCTCCATCAGAGCCCAATCTCACTTCTTTTTCTCCCCTTGGATTTAGTCTACGACAGCTTTAATCTCATTACTTTTGTAACTGATAATGGTATTGTTAAAACAAATTGAAGTGCAGCACAATTATTTGATTATATTACAAAATTTTGTACACCACATTTAAAACTGGCTTGTAATCACACTAGCTTTTGGTTGCGATTATCAAGTTTATGTAGTGGTGTGATTTTACAATAGCATTTTTTTCTGCTCAAGTAAAATTAGCTTTTGCTCTGGTTTAGCTACACTTACAGTTTATTACCAACACTTCATGATGACTAATGTATTTTATATCCCTTTCTACCAACCAGTTCCTAATACAGACTTTAAAACATATGTAAGACAGCAAAAACCACACCATTCTAAGTCGAGTCTTGGACAGGATTTGGCCAAACGTTATTAGTAAATGAATGTTTGACGAGTGTCAACCTTGCTCCATAAACCAGAGGTCAGGGAGCATGGGGCTCCCTGCACCCAAGGAACTAAAGGTTCTTCGGATTATTTACGTAGCATTCAATCACTATAAAAAATGGCCTTTTTACTCTCTGTGTTTCCCTTGTTTTTCTCCTTTCCTTATTTCATTTTGTTGCGCAACAAAACCCCTACATCCTTCAGAGCTACGAGAAGGTTGGTGTGTTTTTACTCTTTGAACACAAACATTTAAAAGTACGTATGTTGTATATACTGTCAGGTTCAACTGTTTGTCACAAACCATTACATCTCAGTGTTGCTGAAACTTGGGCACAAATGTTTCTTTTTTGTTCTATTGTTTTTGCTCTTAGCCATAATTATGTCTTCCGTTGTTGTACATTCAGTATCTATTGAAGCAGCCCCTGATCTTTGAATGCTGGACTGTTTAACCTACAGCTGGTGCATGTTTGCATCTTTGATGTTGGGTGATATTTGCATCTGTCTGACAATCTTATTTGCATGGTCCCCCTGTTATTGTTCGACCCATCCACATCCCTTTTCCAACCCTTTACCCTGTCGGTGCTCCTGCTTGTTTAAATTCCCAGATGACTTGCAGATAATCATGCCAGTAGGGATGGAAGACTGAAAAGGAAACAAAAACATGCATTTTTTTTTTTTCGCTTTCAAATATTTAGGCATCACTACTGTAACACTATCCTTGACGTGCTCTTTTCATCTCATTTTTATAGCGTGTTTAGGAAAGATCTTTCCTTTGTTGTAATTGGCACTAAAGTCAAGAGTCAAGCTGTAAAAACAACCTCGCCTGCAGAGATTACACATTTCCTTTGATGAGGATGCTTCTACTTGCAGCCATGAAAGAACGATGCATTTAGAGTCTTATCTGCAAGTCTTGACAAACGTAATGATATTTAAATGAGCAGGATAATATTATGTCTGTGGGGAACGGGATCCAATTGGATATTAATTAAATATTGAGTGGGAGAAACGGTGTATTTAATAATGCAAGCAGTTCCCTTGGATTTCCCTCTCTGGAGAGCAGCTGCCTGCTCAACAGAATGAGCTTTGTGAGTTAGCAGCAGGAAGTGCATGCTTTTGTTACAAGTCAACACCTCCACTTTAAAATTACACACTATTAAATGTTGTAAAAGAGGGTGAAATAATTGGTGATGGGTGAAAATAATCAGTTTATTTTTAGTTTTTCCAAGTATTTCCAAAATAAATGCTCTAACCCAACAGTACAATTTTGAATACTACAAGCAGTAGTACTGAATACATTAGAAACCCATCCCTCTATTTGAGTTGTATTAACAGTATTTTGTAGCTCCAGTAGCCCAACTTTTTTTTTTTTTGGACAAATCCCAAATAAAAAGTAAACAAACAAAACAAATTATTAGGCTTTTTTTTATTTTATTTTTTTTATCATTTTTTAAATTGTGCTTCCAAGATTAGCTTTTGATACTTATATCTAACAGTTGCTTATGTTAGCCTTATGCATTTAGCTTTAACCTATGCTAGCCATACACTGTTAGTCTTGTACAGTTAGTATTCACTTTTTCTAGCTAAACACAGATAGCATTTGCTTATGTTAGCTTTGTGTAGTTAGCGTTCACTTAGCCTGATGCCAATAGCATTTGCTTCTGTTAGCCTGATACAGTTAGCATTCATTTATGCTTGCCTAACAAAGATAGCATTTGCTTATGTTGACCCTATGCAGTTAACTTTCACATATTCTAGCCTGAGACAGTTGGCGTTTATTTATGTTAGCCTGATGCAGTTAGTATTAGCTTATGCTAGCTGTATAAACTAATAGTTTTGGGAGCCATGTGCCATTTCTTTCCTCTCACACTTATTTTGCCCCGTAGTCCTATTCTTCCATTTTCACCCCGTTTTTCACATATTGTTCTTGGATGCATGACAAACTTATCCCCATACTAAAGACCCTGAGCCATTGCTTGTGTCGATAAGGTTATATATTTAAATTCACTACAAAGTTTAACAATCTTTTTTAGGTTTAAATAAGGTTTAGTTTTATTTATATTTTCTTTATATGAATAAGAGTCACATAAATGTGTATACACTGGAGCTAATGATGTGTGTTCATTAAAGTGTTTTTTTTTATATACTCTTTGGTTTTAAAGCACAATTATTTTATACAATTCTGCAAAACTGTGAAGTTCTGTAAAATGAAAGCCATGTGAATATTTAAAATGGGGTTTTGAAAAAGCATAAACTACAACCACACAAAGTATCGTGGTCCTACTTAAACATTGGCCCAGTTGGAGCTTTTGGTATTATGTTAACCTTGAGCAAAATACCATGGTTTCACAGTAATAAAAGAAAAATTAAGACTTTTTTTAACATATATATTGAAGCACAAATACAAAAATGGAATGTGAAAGAACATTCTTTACACTTACCAATGTAAGCTAAAATTCCAGAGAGAAAGCAAACAGTTCTCTTTTAATAGAGGTACACATAGTTATGGCCTTCATGAAAATATAGCATTATTAAAGTACAGAAATAATTATACTAAAGTAAAAGCACTTATAATGCAAAGCATGAGTTGTCCTCCGTCTTCCACTCAGTAAAGTAACATTATTTCTGACAAGCTGGCGTTAGCTAGTTAATTAGCTGGGTTATCTGCTCGGTAGTGGTCCTGGTTTTCATTAGACTGATGCACGTGCTAACTGTCATAGATTTTATCAAATAAAAAACAGCATTACCTTAAAAAGAAAGATAGAAAGTGCTCCACTAGCAGTAAAACCATGACCATGTGTGCTTTTCCTTATCTGACAAAAATTTCCAATCGACTTCAGCTTTTTTCACTGGCATAAAACTTTTGGTTGTTTCTGGTTCCTTCTGCCTTCAAACACAGCTGACTGACAGCTTGCAGCAACAAAACAAGTATAGAAACGTTTAATTCTGTAGGACAGGAGGAAACCCGGCACTGTCGCTGTCATCGCATTAAGAAGAGTTTAAACTGTAGAGAAAATGACAACAAAAAAAAACGTTTTAAAACCAGAAACGGGTGTATCGTAGTCCTGCAGAAACTCTGGGAATTAGAATCAGTTAGCGTTCATAGTTTTAATTATTTGCAAGCACAGAATATTTTTTCTTAAAGTAAAGATGGTTTTCCCATCATAAGCATTTTTTAAGCAATTTAATTGTCTATCCTATGCACTGTCAAGCTTGAAAATCTCGAAATTGGTTTACCTCTTTCCTGGAATACTTTTTCAAAGTAGTTAGCAAAAACACGTTTTTATATCTATTGTACATACAGTATGTATATATGTACATATTGTAGGTTTGCTTTGTTTTGTAAGAACATTTAATGATTACTTTCTTATTTTTGTTTGTGGTTGTTATCACTGTTCAGTATTTCCCCTACCATTATACAAGCAGGGCGCCCTGCCTACCGAACCAACCCCCCAACAACTGCCAGCACTGACATAGCACTAAGCTAGCGGCCCACAATACAGACATACTAGCTAAAAAGGTAGTGCACCGTTTCCCTTATGTTGAGCCGTCTACCCTCCCTTCTCTCGAAAACTGTCGGTACAAACAGCGCACTTAAAAATACCCTTTCTTTTTCTGCTTACTTAAAAGAAGTTGCACACGAAGACAGGAGCAGATTTTTTAAAGTTTACTTGCAAGGTCAGAGTTCACACAGGTTTACACAGATGTCTCAAAAGCCCCGTCATGAGAATCTGCACCGGACAGTGTGCAGGAAGTGTTTTTACAATGCTTATCAGCACAGTGACATTGGTCTCTTCGACTCAGAAGCGTCGGGTGTCTGCAGGTTCTTCTCTTTTAGAGAAAAAGAACTCTGCTCCTCACACACATAGCTCAGCATTAATGTAACATTAGCGGTGATAAACATCCATAAACCTTTACCTAAATTCCCCTGAGAATCCCCCCCCGTCGACAAAAAACACAGAACAGATGAGCGCCCTGCCAAAGCAAGTAATGTAGGAGAAACACTGCTGTTAATCTTTTCCGAAGTATTAAAGCATCACATTTGGCAGCCATTGGTGGTTTCTCTTCAGACTGAATCTACAAAAAGCACAAACACCATTTCCTTTCCGTTATGTGCTCGACTCTAATGTTTTATCAGTCTGGGAGATGCGGCACATCAGTTCACATCAGCTGGAGGTGTGCAGCCTAAAAGTTGTTCCTCTGCCTACAACTGGAGTGCTGCTGACTCTCCAGCACTTCAATACTGATGCAGTATTCTGTGCATGGCACTCATGTCGGTGTTGACTCATTCACCACTTCATCTTTGTCTTGGATGGAAAGTGCTTTAAATGTGTTTTCTTGACCATAAGCTTCAAATGGCGAAAGTGATTTCATTGTTATCCTACAATTTAAAGATTTATGATTCCGATATTGTTCTCAATCGTATGTATTTTTTCCTGTTTAGTATCCCTTTTTTGCAGAAATCTGTTTTCACCATTAAGTTCTGTTTCTTGCTTGTTGTTATAACTTTATATTTTGTCAATAATTTTCAGTGCGTCGAGTGCCACCACGATTCTCCATTCCGCCTACAGACAATGAGATAATGCCAGGAGGCAGCGTAAATATTACATGTGTGGCAGTCGGCTCTCCCATGCCTTATGTCAAGTGGATGCTGGGTGCCGAGGATCTGACTCCGGAGGACGACATGCCCATTGGACGGAACGTCTTGGAGCTCACGGATGTCCGACAGTCGGCCAATTACACGTGCGTGGCCATGTCGACCCTCGGGGTGATCGAGGCTGTAGCCCAGATAACAGTAAAAGGTAAAGTTTTGTCTTTTTTGTTTCTAATTATAACTTAAAGCACTCTGAGAGCGGACACCAAGACCGTAGGGTCTTGACTAGGCCAGGGCTACTCAACATGGAGCCGATGTGTTGAGCTGCAGTGGATTTAGCCGTCTCTTCTGCTGCTGCAGTCTTCATACATTCTGTGTTCAGATCGACAGACATAGACAGAGCGAGGCGTGATATCTATCTGTTCTTCTGTCTTTGTCTGATTTTTCTCCGTCTGTCAGTAGCACATCGAGCTGCAGCAGCTCCTTTAATTCCTGGATCCGGACGGTGATCCAGATCACCACCAATATGTAATAAATTGTTCTTTGTGACAACCTCAACATTTCCTGAAAATTCTATGGAAATCAGTTTCTAACCAGTTTCTAACTTTTTGAGAAATCTTGTGCACAAGCAGACAAACCGACGCTACTGGAAACATAATCTCCTTGGTGGAGGTAATAACGCACATAATCTAGACATGTGTAAACTTCATGTACAGCACTTTCCTTTAAATACTTAAACTACTAATAGTGTGAATACATGCATGGATGCTCTTTTTAAAGAAACAGTCCAAGAGGAGATGACTCACTACTACAACAAACCGTTTTTAAAAGGTTCTTCAAAGCTTTGGACAAACCCCGGCACCAGATTCTGTTCATTTGATGTCAGATTCAGAATGGAGTGAAGTGCTTATCTCCCAGCCGGAGAACTGCAAAGCCACGAGCTCACCGTTAGCTGGATGTAGGAAGGAGGGGGGCACACTGGGGTACAAAACCACCTCGGTGTTCGGCGTCTTCTAGAAACGGTACTTATCTGAGAGTAATCATATCTACTTTGCAAGGTACCAGAGATATATACCAGATTGGTGCTGCTATGTTGACGTGCACACAAGGGATGGGCTGTGCCGCACACACACACAAACACACACCCAGCTTTGTTTTTCTCAGACATAACGTTGTGATATTAGTCACAATATAACAGTCTGGCAGGAGCTCCCCCAGTAGCCTACTTCAGGTGGCGTATAAATACAATGTATTGCCCTGATATCTCCTGCTGTGTGCTGCGATGTGGGGAATTAAAGCAATAAATTTACCTCTTTAATTATTAAAGTGATAAAGAGGAATCTAAGATTAACAACAACAACAGCAGCAGCAGCAGCAATAGTGTTTAATGCCAACTGTGGAGAATACAGTTCTGTCCTTAGTCATCTTTCATTTCTTTATACTTTGTATTCAAGACCTCCGACCTAAAAAAACTTGTTTTTAATCAACAGATCTTCAGGCTTTCTAAAAGTTTGGACTTGGTCTGCTTTTTGCTAATCCTCAAGGGCAAGGAGTGTGATTTGCATGTGAGTTCAGCTTGCAAAGATCAAGCAGATCACTGCAGTTCTCTAATTATAAAGAAAATGCCCAGTTGCCTTTAACACGAAACATAAAGATTGCGTTTTAAATCAGATCTTTAACTTGTAACTAGCTACAAGTACTAGTTAGTAATTTTGATACAAGGCGTTTTCGTTTTAAATGTTTAGTTGTCTGTGAAATAAAAGTAACACAGTTTGACAGACTTAAAATATTAATTTAGCACCAACTAAGTGATCCCCAAAAAGTCCTGGCAGGTAACCAGAAACTAACTTTTTTATTAGTGACTTGTCAGAAAGACAATTTATTGTTTCAATTTTTAATAGTCTGTTCAAAATGCCAAATAAAACAGGTGACAGATATAAAGTATTATTAAAATACTACGTTATGTCTGTTAACAGCACCAAGGTGTTAAACAGAGCTAGTTGGACACTTGTCATGATGATCAACTAACTGATGCTGCCCAACAAAGTTGTCAGGTCTTCTGCATGGTTTCTTCATGTTGAAACATTTCATCTTGCATCCAAAGGACTTCATCAGTCCGAGGAGCCACAACAAACTCAGTCCCACAAGCAGCACACTCACACAGTGGTCCAACCAGTTTGATGGTGATAAAATGGTTTAAGCCCCCCTCAACTTCTCTGAGACAGCCATAGCCAAAGTGGTTCAAAACATCAATCAAAGTTCATGCTCATTAATAAAGATCAAACCGGTTGGTCCACTTTGTGAGTAAGCCACTTAGGGGACTGATGAAGTTCTTTGGATGAAGGACAAAACATTTCAGCAAAAAGAAACAATCCAGAGGACCTGACTTGACTTTGTTGGATTTTTTTTACCTGGATTATTGAGCATGAACTTTGAGAACTGATTCTGCATTTGTGTTCAATTAATTTTCCTCCATCCTAAAGGTTTGTCTATCTGAAAATGTTCATATGCACTAAATAGATTCTTAGGACTGACACTTGTTTTGTTTTCCGCTTGTCCACATTCCTCAGTTTGTTTAGTTACAAACTGCTCAATCTACTGTCGTAACAAAGACCATACTGAAACTGAGAGAAAGAGTCGTGAAAATGTGAAGAAATACTGATCAGTACTTTAAAATATCTTAAACTCTGGGCTCTTAGAAGAAAAATATGAAAGAAAAAAGATCTGTTTTAAATCTTTTCCACAGAGCTGTATGTTTCAAATATTTATTTTAATATTTATGTAATGTTTTGTCATTCCAGCGTTACCCAAGGCTCCTGGTATTCCCATAGTGACCGAGCGTACGGCCACCAGCATTACTTTAACTTGGGACTCGGGCAATCCTGAACCAGTGTCTTACTACATCATCCAGCACAAGTCCAAGTACTCCGAGGACTTGTACAAGGAGATTGATGGCGTGGCCACCACTCGGTACAGCGTGGGCGGCCTCAGCCCTTACTCTGACTACGAGTTCCGGGTGGTGGCAGTAAACAACATTGGACGGGGGCCGCCCAGCGAGAGCATAGAGGCCAAAACAGCAGAGCAGGCTCCCAGCACGGCGCCAAGGCAGGTCCGTGGCCACATGATGAGCGCCACCACTGCCGTCATCCAGTGGGACGAACCGGAGGAGCCCAACGGCCAGATCATGGGCTACAGAGTGTACTACACCATGGATCCCACCCAGCACGTCAACCTTTGGGAGAAGCAGATTGTTCGGGGGTCTAACTTCGTCACCATCCAGGGACTCGTTCCAAATAAGACCTACTACATTAAGGTTTTGGCCTATACTTCTGTAGGTGACGGACCTCTTTCTGCTGACCTGCAAATCATTGCTAAGACTGGAGGTGGGTATGCTAACATCATACAACTGAAGCAAGTTGTATATTGATATTTATTCAGCAGTTAGGTTTGAAAGTGTCACAAACATTTCAGTAAATACATTTTTTGAGTCACAGTTTTTCATTAGTGTTTTCCAGATATTAACAAGGGCTGTAAACACACAAACATCTCCAGGCTGTCCTTTGAAATCAGAAATGGTGTTTCACTTTTACGTATAAAAGTTAGAAAATGTAATCTTTTATTCACCCTTTCTGCCGGTGCACACCTGCATCCTCTGAGGAGGCCATCCATGTCACACACACACACACACACCCGCTGCTTCCAAGCTTCAACCACTAAGCAGTCATGTGTGAGAGTGGGACAGACTCTACATAAGTTCAAGTTAAAGTTCAAGAATCTTTATTGACCCCAAGGGGCAATTTGTTTCACAGTCAGTCACACAAAACATCCATATTAGACAAGACATTAAAAGTACAGAAATCATCATTGTTCGTTGAGAAGCCTGATCGCTTCAGGGATGAATGAGTTTTTCAGTGTTTGTCCTACACCTGGGCAGCAGATACCTGTGTCCAGATGGAATCAACCTGAACTCACCATGGAGTGGGATGATCAGGATCTGCCAGAATCAGCCTGACCTTATAATGTTAAGAATAATGAAATGATCTCTTTACTCTCATTCCAGTTCCTTCCCAACCCACTGACTTTAAAGGAGAGGCCAAATCCGAAACGAGCATTTTACTTTCATGGAACGCTCCGGCACAGACCGGACTAGAAAATCAAGTCACCGGATATGAACTCCTGTACAAAAAGAGAGATGAAAAAGACGAGGCAAGTGTTTTTCAGTTCCATCATGTCCACCATTAAAGTTTCATACCTCTTTATTTACTGGTATAATGCAATCTAAATTTTAGGAAACAGTAAGCTTGTCAGGATTTTTTAACATAATTTACGACCCTAAGTCAAGTCCTATTTATTACATAGAGCAGTGGTATTACCGAAGAAGTGATGTTAGTCATTAATAGGGTACAGTTAAAAAATGTTTAGTCTTCCATTATAGTCACAACTTTAACATTTACAGATCATTTGTTAAGTAAGCTGGACTTGAATGTGACTTGTTTAGGTGGCATTTTGTGCTATCAATAAAAAAAATAAAAAAAACTATATTTTATGTAACTGCTCAGTAAAGAGGAAAAAAAACTGTTTCCTTTAAGTTCAACCTCAGTGCTTGTTTTGACGTTTTTTTAAACCTTATTTTCAAACTACCGCTTGTGAGAATTAGCTGCTTAGATATGGTGCATTCGTGGACGAGGGGAAATATTTGAATTTTACGTCCATTTGGGCTTTTTATGGATCGCTGGCGGGGGGCTCGGTTTTGTTGACAGGGCGAGGCTTCCCGCTTGTATAATGGTAGGGGAACACTATATATTCTATGTACTCTAACACTGTGCTTTTATGGAAAAAAAAATAAAAATTCACAGAAACGAGTCAGCTTTGAACCCACAACAACTTACCTGCTGAAGGACCTGAAGCCCTTCACTATTTACACTTTTCGCCTGGCAGCACGCAGTAAGCACGGAGTCGGAGCTTACACCAGCGAGATCTCTGCAGAGACTCCACAGACACGTAGGTCTTCTTCCTTATCTGACCAAGTCCACGCTCTTTAGGAAGAAGCACATTTTCAAATGCATTTCAATTTATTTTCTGAAGCTACATCTACAAAAAAAGAAATATTTTCAGTGATGACTTCCTGAGCCCTGATAAATGAACTTTTATCCTACGTTTAATGCATTTGAAAATTGTCAAGATACGAGCAGTGAAACAGTTAATTGTACGGATGTCTGGTTGACCATGAAGCATTCACCTTGAAGGGTTGCTCAGACAGTATAAACAGACTTGCCTGCATTGTCAGGAGACAAGGTTATAAAAACAACCGCTCCTACTATGTTGGGGGGGAACAAGTCTTAGCCAAAATGAATGATAAAGTTTTGAATATCTGATATAAAAGGAGACATCTTAGTTTTTTAATAATTAAAGAGGGTTCGCTCTTGTCTCCTGACACTGCACTGAAGCAGGAGATTAAAACAATGTAGATTGAGCTTTCTATGTAGCCACAGTAATCAATTATCTTAACGTCAAATGGACTTTTCAGTTTGATTCTACTTTGATGTTAATGCTAAACAGCAGAATCCCAGATTTGGTGTCACATCATCATAGAAAGCTCAATGAAAGAACCACCGTTTTAGAGCTAGGGACATTTTCACCATAAATACCTCAGATTTATGGGAAAAAAGAAACCCGATTGTCGATTTGGAATCTGCTGTCGACTGTAAAACAACCTCTCTGTGGTCTTTTGACCGCAGGTTACAAATTAAAACATCTGATTTTAAATTTGACTGTGAACACAGCATAAATCTGAGGGCTCTGACAGATTGAGGCAGAAACCAGGTGGGTATAAAAAGCTCCAGTGTTCTGATTTTATGTTCTGAAGATGTTAAAGATAGAAGGAAAAAAAGTGCATGTCGATGATATCAGAATGTAATGAAACAGTCATGTCTCCTTTGGGAAGTTCTCTGTTGTACAATCAGGCTTTTACCACAAACCAACAGACTACGGAAAGGTTGGTGACAAATACAACGTCTTTTTCTACTTTTGAACTAGAGACAGCATCAACCTTTATGATTTTGGATTGATGGTAACTGCTTGCAAAATTTATCTGATTTCTACTACATGTATTTTTTTTTTTTATGCTCAATTTGACAGATTTTTGAAGACGTTTGAAATACAGATTTACAAATTTACTTGGAATCTTAAGAGCAATTGGCGTGTGTAACTTATCTTTTTCTTTATAATTTTGGTTTTCTTGACAAAGGTAGGTGACATATTGTGTCAAGTTGTCTTTTTTTTTGTTCCAGTCAACGTCTTCCATTCATTATGTTTATATTTTTGTTTGTCTATATATCTTTTTAGTCTATTTTAGATGTAAAATATTTATTTACCTTCATAAGTCCTTGTGCTTTATCATTTTATATTATTTGATTTTGTTTTTTCTTTTGTTTTTCCTTTTGTTTGGTCAATTTTTTCCATCATCATCATCCTGATCAAACCAAAAACTGAAACAAACCCAACTCATTGAATGGCCTCAACAATCAAACTTTAACGACCAAAATATGTCATCTGCTTCAAAAACCGATGCACCGAGCAGACCCTGCCGGCCCGCCTCAGGACGTAAAGTGCTATAGCTCCAGCTCCACCAACATCCGGGTAAGTTGGCGGCCGCCCCCTGTGGAGTTACAAAACGGGATCATAACTCAATACACCATCCAGTACGCCACTACCGAAGGGGAGGATACAGCTGCTCGTCAAATCTCCGACATCCCTCCAGAAAACTCGGAGTACCTTTTGGAAAACTTGGAAAAATGGACAGAGTACCGCGTGACGGTCACTGCTCATACCGATGTCGGAGCAGGACCCGAGAGCCTGCCGCAGCTTGTCCGCACCGAGGAGGACGGTATGTGTTTGCTGAAACAAACAAAAACCTTCAGCTGCAAATCCAGACTACCCTTTTTAACTTACCCCTTCAAATACTAACAACCTTTTCTTCTCTACCCCCCTTCTCCACCTGCTTCTAAAATGACTGCCTTCGCCTGATACTTTCAGCCTCGTTCTGGACGATGCGCTAGTTTTTTAACCCAAACAAACCGACTCACAAAAGCACAGTTTTTGGCTCTTGGCCCCTTTACGCTGCTCAATTTCAACACATGGTACGGCATTTTTAGATTGCGGCCTTTACCTTCCAGTCCCAGCTGTCTTTTTTCTTTTTTTTTTTGGTGTTTTTTCAAATCACTTTTTAAAAATGAAATCTAACTTAAAATTTGTTAAACACTTGACAAACGGTCGAGTTAAAGACAGTGGGGAAAAACAAAAACGTGGAAGATTTTTTTTTTTTTTTTTAAAAGGCCGTTTTTATAATTTTCTCCACTCATGTGAGAATCATTTTTACTTTTGTTTTTTTCTTTATTTTTTAGCCAAAATTCTTGTTGTGCTTCAAGCTGTTGGAAGCCTTGAAGCCCTTTTTTGGCTAAACACATTTTTTTATCCCATGTTTTTTAAATCCACTCTACTCATTTTCTATGTTTCAGGATTAGGTCAGTCGTCAGACCTGTTTTTGCTGTTGTTTTTTCCTCCCCTTACCATTGTTGAAATATCAATGTCATGCAGTGCTTGTTGCATTTTACGGCACAATTGTGCCCTTTTTTTCTTTTTTTCTCTCTCCTTTTTTGATCACTGCAGAATTTTGCACCACAGCTTTGGGGCAAGGCTTTATAAAAAAATATGAAGGGGTTCTCTACAATTTTGACCTTATTTCTTTTATCCCCATGGTGTTCCTCCAGTTCCTAGTGGGCCACCTCGTAAAGTTGAGGTGGAGGCTGTCAACTCTTCATCAATTAAAGTGATCTGGCGCTCGCCGGTGCCCACCAAGCAGCACGGTCAGATCCGAGGATACCAGGTGCACTATGTCAAGATGGTTAATGGGGAGTCCACAGGACAGCCAGTCTTCAAGGACATCCTGATTGATGATGCCCAGGTACAGCACCCCCCACCCCCAGCCAGCCGTCTCATTCCTCAGACAAACAGTCCAACTTTAGACATTCTCACTTTTACGCAGACAACAGCAATCTCTCTTTTCCTTGGAAACTTGTACAAATGGCAATTTATTTATATATATAT